CCTCCTCAGCTTCCTCTGCTTTAGGCCCAGACACAGACGCCCAGGCCAGTGCTCACAGTGGAACGAGAGTTCGGAGGCCCTACTCCTGGGACCGAGGTAGAGAATCTGATCGACCCCCGGGTCAGGTGACTTTCCTGTGCAGTCCCAGAGGTCAAGGGGGGCAGGGTCACATGCCCCCTGTAGGGGCTCCAGCTTTGAGGGGTGTGGTCAAGTCCTCCGGTAGCCAGTTGGATATGGGAGAAATGGGTGCATGTCCCATATGGTGCATGCAGGGAAGCAAGATGCCTAATAAATGTTGGAAGGCTTAAGGACCAGCGCCAGGGCTCTTTCCCAGCATCCTAACAGCCTTTCTGGGACCCAGTCTGTTTTTCTCACTTGTTTACAAAAGCAGCCAAGAGGTGCCAGGAAGACCTGAGTCTACTCCAGGTCTGCCACTTAGCAGCTTGGTGAATTTGGGCAACGAATAAGAGATTTCTGAGTGTCCTCATCTGCAAAGGAGAGATTATACGAGTAGCCATGTGCCATTGTAGGGGGCAGCTATAGGGGTGACTGGAGCTGAGGGTCTAGCCCAGTGCCTGGCACTCACGTGGTAGGGACCCTGAGAGGCTTATCTTTTCAGCACGAAAATTGGAAATCGGGATAGTGTATCACTATGTAATTGACAGTGTTTTTTTCCCCCTTTTATACTAGCACATAAAATAGGTGCATCTTACAGTTAATGGCATCCTAGATTTGGTGAAATATGGGATCATTACCAATTGCGCTGGTCTGGGGAAAACTGCAATATATCTGGGTAAAAATGTCCCCATCTGCAACATAAGGACAAGGTCCCTCCGTTAGGCAGCCACTGTGAGGCCAAAATGAGACCACATCTGGAGACAGCTTGACAAGTGCTCCCTCCCTCCTGGTTGACACCAATTGGTGGACAAAGGTGGGCTTTGGGCAAACCAGGCCATCCTGAGCTGGGAGCCTGTTTGTTTATCTGTGGAGGGGGTGGCCAGCACTGAGGGCCAAGCAAATATTTGTGGTTATGGATTAACTCGAGGTCCAGACTGTCATGGCGGCAGGACGGCGACCTTGCAATTTCTCCCTGGCCCACCCCAGTAAGTCCCCTTCGAGGCAGGTCTGTGAGGGGGGTGGAGGAGGGATGGGCAGATGTGAAGTCTGAATCCTCCAGCCAGGGTTCGAGAGGCTGGCTAGAGCTTGGGCTAATGGGAAATCAGGGCTCTGCCACAAGGCCGGCCTGGGCGCTTGCTGGCATTCCTCAGGCCTGGGTGCCACAGTTCCAAGGGGCCTTCTTCCCAGACTCTGAGGCAAGGAGAAGTCGTCAGAGGGCCTCCAGGGATGAAGGACATCGTCAGGGGCAGCTTGGAGCCCAGGAGCTGTCCTCCCCCACCTCACCCCCACCTCTAAACCTAGGGAGTGGGGAGGTTGCGGATGGGGCAGGCAGGCCTACCCCTGGGGCTTGGAGGCAGTGGAGGGCTCGCTCCTAGGTTTCCAGCTGGCAGGGCTACTACTGGGGCTTTGTAGGGCAGCCGGTAGTTTGGGGCAGGGGCTAGGATTCTAGGCCTGGGGCCAGGTCCTAGCTCTGCTGTGTCCTGGCTGCGGGTTTTTAGTAAGCTACTTCACTCGTCTAAGCCGATATTTACTGAGCGTTTGCTGTGTACAAACCCTGTCTTTAGAGCATTTTACTTAATTCTCACAGTAACCCCAATAAGGCAGAAATGACAGCTTTTCTAACCATTTTACAAATGAGGAAACTGAGACAAGGAGCAGTTAGGTATCCTGCCCAGTATTGCTGTCCCGGAGCTGGGATTTGCACCAAGTGGTCTGACTTGGTGGCCTGGCTTCTGAACCATGTACCAATTGCTGGGAAAACACCACGAATGTCCAATAAATGTTAGCCTGGCCATCAGATCAGCAACGGCACCACCCCCTAACCCTCACCAAAGAACAGGACAAGGAAGGGCAGGAACATTCTGGGCTCAGCTGCCGTGGCCCTTTTGTGCTGAGTCACCTTTGATCTTCCCCAGGACTCCATGCCCTTTCTTCCTTTTCTCTTCATCCCTCAGACTCTGGGGAAATGCTGTGACCTTAGCCCCACATAGGCAAGGACACTGAGGTGCCAGTGGTTCTCTGTCTAGGGAACAGGGACCCACCCCCCCAGCCTCAGTCCTTGCATTCAGCTGCCATTTGGGGGGCCGGCCAGCAGGCAGAGCAGGGCTGGTGGGGCTTCTGGAAGCTCAGGAGTCCTCCTCAGACAGGTGTCAGCAACTTCAGAATGTGGCAACTCTCAAGCCTCTTCCTGTTGGTGACCATCTGGGGAACTTCCGCCACACCAGCTCCTCCTGGTAAGGCCACGCTACTCCCTCCCTGGGACCCTCCGGGTCTTCACAGGCCCTCTTGGGCCGCACAAGGCCCTCACACCGCACAGCATCTCCTCTGGGCCTCATGGGGAGGTGAGAGGCACACATGGGGAGGAAGTGACTGACAGTCCCCTGCAGGCCAGCTGTTGGAACCCAGCAGCTACTTCCTGGCGGGTGGAGGCTGCGGGGTGTGGGGGGGAGCTGTGACAGCAGACTACTGTTGTGACGCAGTTAGCCCTGGGGGTCATGTCCCAAAGCTCCTTCCTCCAGCCTGGGAGTAGGCCACAGAGTCCCCCGGGGACTTTCCCCTCCACCCAAGTACTTGCTCCCTCAACAGCCAAAGCCAGGCCTGGCCACCACCCCACCCAGCTGCAGGGCGGCCTCTCCTCCAAGGCAGTGACCTGAGAGGTGACAGCCCTGCCCCACCCCTCCCTCAGCCCCCACAGCCAACAGGAGGAAACCAGGGCACCTCCTGAGGCCTGAGAGGGAATGAGTTGCCAGTGTCGCCCTCGCCCCAGGCACACCAGCTACTGTTGGCATTTGTGCCTGTTCTTGAGCTGCTCATCTGCCTGGGTCGGGGGGTGGGGGGGGGGGTTCACTCCCACCTGTGGTCCACTTGGCTTCTCTATCCAGACTCTGATGCCTTCCTTTCCTGGCCTTTGCATCAGCCCCTCCGGCCTCTCTTCCTCACTTCCCTGACCTGGTCCTTCCATCCCAGCTGTCCCCAACAGACACCTCTCAGAGCTCTGGAGACAGGTCTGCAGTCCTCCAGTGGTGCCTGCCTGAGGGGAAGGCTGGGAAGTGCTCCTCCCTGCTAGGGAGGTCAAGGAGGAGCGGGGAAGGAGGAGGGACAGCATCAACACAGGGTTGCACAGGGGTACTCAAAGAGCAATGCCACCGACTGAACTTTGCAGTCTTGGTAATAACAGCAGCATGTAGCACTGGGTGCTCAGTTCTGTGTCAGGCCCTGTGCCATCTGACACCATTATTCCTCATGTCTGCATGAATAAACTGAGGGTTAGAGAGGCAAAGCCACCCGCTCAAGGTCACACATGGAGCTCAGGCTGGGTCCCAAGGGAGGGCTGCCTGGCTCAGCACACGAGTGTCCAAGTCCTCTGTCCTCCAAGGCCGGCCATCTGCTGCCTGTGGAGGAAGAGGGCAGAGGAGAAGGGGTCTTAAGTCCGGAGGGTCCAAGACAAAACCCCTCCTGGCTTCACTGGGCTCCCTGCAGTGCGGCCCCTACCCCAGCACCCACCCACCTCAGGCCCCTCCACCAAAGTGAGCTCCCCCTCCTCCCAAACCAGACTCAGTGTTCTCCAGCAGAGAGCTCTCCCACCGGGTGCTGCGGATCCGCAAGCGAGCCAACACTTTCCTGGAGGAGCTCCGGGCCGGCAGCCTGGAGCGGGAGTGCGTGGAGGAGATCTGTGACTTGGAGGAGGCCCAGGAGATTTTCCAAAATGTGGATCACACAGTAAGGCTGCAGCGCTGGCTGAAGAGGGCGGGTAGGCTGGTGGCTGGCGGGGGCCTGCAGGATGAGCAAGCTGGGGCTCCACTGCTGAGGCCCTCTTGGGAGTCGGGGAAGCCTTAGGCTGGGACAACAGTCCCACTGCAGGAAGTTCAGCCCACTCTCTGGCCACTCTCCACTGGCCACTACTGCCTCGCCTATTCTCTGTGGCCAAAATGCCACCTTCTCTGCTTCCAGCCATGCACCTGCCCATCAGGGTGTCTGTTCTGATGTCTGTTCACATGCACTTGCTCTGTGCCTCAGTTCAAATTCTCAAGGGGCTAAATCTGATTGCTCAGGGGATCTGAGGGAAGAGCCCATGTCCTCTCTGGCTCCCAGGGCTCTGTAGTGGCCCTAAGGTAGAAGGATGGATTGGTAAGAGAGGTGGCTCTCTGATACAGGACTCAGACCCTCCATCCCCAACGGCCTACTTGAACTACTAGGACAAAGAGTTGTGCTGCCACCAGGGGGCCCCTTCTGAGCTGTCTGTAGGGCCTTCCCAGGCTGAGGGGGAGCTCTGGTCTGCCCCTTTGGCTGCTACCTCGTGGCCTAGATCCCCACGGCCTCTTTTCCCAAATGGCTTCCTCGGCTGACGCCCAAAGGACTTTCTGCAGCCACCATCTGAGCAGATCACATCCCTCCCATGGCTCTCCCACCTCACCCTAAGATCTCCCAGGCCCCACAGAGCACAGCCACTGCTGCAGGGGCCTGCTGGTGTTAGGCATCCTGCAGTGGATCTCAGGTGTGGTGGCCCCAGACCAGCAGCAGCAGCAGGGACTTGGTTAGACCAGCAGACCTTCCGAACCAGCAATCAGCATCTAACCCAGAAGGTCTCAACTTTGAGAAGCTGGCTTAGGGAAAGACCATGAGCATGAGAAGTCCAGAAAAGCCTAAAGGAGTGATGGGGGCAGGAAGGAGGCTGAGCAGCCTGCTGAGGGATTTGGGGTCCCTTCCCCTACAGAGGCTGTTGTGGTAGCAGACAGTCCAGAGAGCAGGCTTCCAGACGCAAAGGGGGTAGGGTGGGGTGAATGGGAGGTGGGGTGGAGATGGCAAAGGAGGTGCAGGCAAGGAGGAGCGTGGCCCTACCCTGGCTGGCCACCGGCCCGACAAGCCTTTCCCTCCCCTGCCCCACCTGGGTGGGACCCGGGAGGGGACCCGCGGGCTCCCCAGGCACACACGGGCTGACGGCCCCTCATGCTGCCCCTTCTCTCCACAGCTGGCCTTCTGGGCCAAGTACATCGGTGAGTGCGCTCTCCATCCCAGGCCGCTGTGCCCGTGCCCCCTCGGGTTCTTTGGGCCGCAGGAGGGACGGGGACGGGCTGGCGGCACCAGTGACACCCCTTCGCCGTGTCGCAGACGAGGACCAGTGCGCGGCCCCACCCCCTGATCACCCGTGCGACAGCCCGTGTTGCGGGCACGGCAATTGCATCGACGGCATCAGCGCCTTCCGCTGTGACTGCGACCCGGGCTGGGAGGGCCGCTTCTGCCTATACGGTGAGAGGGCCGGCCGCGGTAGGGG